TTACTTCTAAAATCAATGTAGTAAAGCAACAGCATGCCAGTTAATCAGCTGGTTTGCATAACAACTGTTTGAGGGAGTGTGGTGCGTGTGCGCCTGTGTAACGAGAAAACCAGTGTCAGCCCAACTCTTTGAAGCCAATGTGAAAGATCAAGCTTTCATGTGACTACAGAGAAAAGAAATCTGGAAGAGAAGGAGCAGGATGATTTGACTTCACATCAAAAACAACCTTCCCCTTGTACCTGGTACGACATCTCACATGTGGTACACTCCCAATAAATGGCATATTTAATTCATTTGAGAAGGCCTACATGAAATGTAGGCTCCTCATGGCTATTCCAGCCCAGATTCTAGGTTCTCTGGTGCTAGAGACATTAAGCTTATAAAAACACAAATGAATGAATGAAGCCTTGGAAATCACTGGCCACCAAGACTTACCATTCCTTCTCAGTATGTCTTGGAGACAGATCAGAAGCACATTAGAAGCGACCTAGGTTTGATGAAAATATTTCAAATTGTATATAAAACCGGCACATTGTACCCCATGGTTGCATTAATGTACTACACAGCTATGATTTAATTAAAAAAAAAAAAAAGAAGAAGAAGAAGGAGTGGCCCAGCAGAGGTCTGCTGGCTGTGTGAGCTGCGGCCCCATATCCAAGCAGAGTCAGGGGGGCTGGTGCAGAAGCTGGTGGTGGGTGGCTCTCACAGGAGTATGGATTCTGGCCCAAAACATCTGGGAGAGGAGAAGTTTTCAGCCTTTGCACTATAGGTTAATTGATGAATGTGAGGAGGGGACGATTACAGGAGGATGTTCACTTTGAAAACAAGGTGTACATGATATCATGAACACATGTAAAGGATAAGAATCACCAGGGGAACACAAGGAGTCAACTTCAGCCTCTGGAAAGCCATAGAGGTCTGGAGTCTAGCTCTTGGCTTTCTTCGAAGGCCAAAATTCCTTTCATCATTTACTTCAACATAAGGTTAGTTCCATTTGCAGAGACTGACCTATGCAGATTAAACTCACAATAGACTGAGTTATACACCTCACCATGGCATTTTATTTATGTTGAAATGAGAATCAGAACTGTCTGCCTGACCAAACTGGTCTCATTGCATCTTCTTTCTGTAAGTAATCTCCACAGTAGAATAAGAGATTAGAAGGTTCTACAGAGCATGGATCAGAAGCAGTTGGTGACACTACTTAAAAGTGTTAGGCTCCATGGGTCTGCCCACAGCACTCCAGAGAATGCCACCAGGCCCCTTCCATCCTCTCCTCCCTCCTGGGCTTGCTCAATCTCTTGCTGAGGCCCAAATGTTCCTACTCAGAGCATTTCATCAGGTTCCTCTGAAGTCCCACAGATCAGGAAACCAATCTCTCTCTAAGCCTCTCCTGTCTCTGCCCTGACTCAGTACAGGCTTATTTTATACTGCCATTCCTCATGGGCAATCTTATTCCTAATTCCTAAGGAATTCCTAATTCCTGTTGTCTCCTTGCACCCTCTCCATGTGTCAGGCTCCAGCCACACCAAAAGCTGGAGATCACCCGTCCGGAACAGGCCCTTTCGGGGTCATTTTGCTTAGACCTCTAGCCACTGGTCTCCACTAGGACATCTCCTCTCTCTTGTCACCACAAGCCGCGTGTCTCTCCCACATGTCCAGCTCAGGTTCCAGAGTCACTGGCGCACCAAACTGCACATAGTAATACCAGAGACAGGACCGTCCTCTCCGGACACGCATTCTGACTACACTCGCACACTCGCCTGCTCGCTCGCCCCCGTGGAGGCTGCGCATGCTCACTAGCCGGCTGGGCGTGGCAAACTCAAGGCCATGGCGCCGGGGCTGCGGTCGTCGCTCTGTGTGCCAGGACCACGCCTGTTGCCCCGATGTGCATCATCACACCACAGGTCGCAGCCAGGGCAGTGGTGGTAAAGTTCACCCTGTGGCTTCTGGTAAACCTCTCCCTATACTTCTGGCACCTGTCCCAGGAATCCAAATGGTGCAATTAGATTCAAGAATACTGCCGTGTGAGGCCAGGTCCTTATGCTTACTTCCTTGAAAAAGTAAAAATAAATTAAAACCATTACAAAATATTCATGGCTTGTGATCAAAGTGAATTACAAACACAAGCGTAAGCAATTTGGAAATGAATGCAAATACTCGGGTATGGACTAGTATTTCTGCCACACTGAATCTCAGCAATTATTGCGTGTCTTATGAGAGCATTGGTTGGTTTTTTTTTTTTTCTTTCAACTCAGACCCCTCTGGGGCCAGCTTGCTCAGCAAGGCTTTGCACACCAGAGGCTTCAGAGGGGAGAGACCCACCAGTAAAACCTGCTTTCTCTTTCCCCTACCCCTCTCCTCGGTCAAAAATCTTTAATTAGCTGGTTACCATAATTACTCTAGCTAGGGACCTTATTTGTTCTCCTTCCCTGCTATTCCCAGGGATCTGAAGTTTCTACCACTTCTGTGCCAAAGGGACCTTTCTATCATAGCTTCTCTCTGCCTTTTTGTTTTTCCCTTTTATGATCAGAACAAAAAAAAAAAAAAAGGCCTAGGGAAAGAAATCATCTCTCCTTCTGTGTCTGGGTAAGACCCTATAACTCTCTCTTTCCAATCAGGAACAAGTTTCCATGACAACCATGCTTCCCCATGTTATAGCTAACTTAGCAGGTAGTGTTCGTATCAAATAGAGAGTTCTTTACCAACCTCTATGGTTTCCGTACTTCACCATTGCTACGGGTCTCTAACACAGGCCTCTAACACACCAGCTGTTTGCATGAACTGCATCTTAAAAGGGTTTTGCCCTTTTCCTTCTAAACATCAGAAACACACACACACACACACACAAAATTCCTCGGCTTTTTCCTTACAGCCATCATTAAAAAGCACACCAATATATCCAAAAGCATAGCAGAGGCATAGATAAGAAAGAGAATGTGTGACTTGATGGAGGGAGTACAAACAGATGAATGGAGAATAGCTGGGCTGTAAGGACAGCTGGGTGATTACACCTTAGTCAGTGGCGTAAACTCTGAGCTGAGAGCTAATGAGGTAGGGATTCCTGCCATGCATGACCTTGGGTAAGTTAATCCTCTCGGGGCCTCTACGCTCCCTCTGTACAAAACAGAAACTAAGACACTTCATGGAACTGTTTGGAAAAAAGCAAAGACAGAAAAAGTGCTTATTAAACTGTCTGACATTACCATAGGAATTCGACACATGGCAATTACCACCTTGCCACCGTTAAGGTAAAGAGTTGAATTAGAAAGAGTCTGAGCAAACAAGCAATCACTATATTCTAATTGATTATTAGCATTTTTCTGGTCCAGGATAACAAGTATAACAGTAGATATTTGGGGGTTTTTTTAAGCAACCTTTTTCCATTAGGCCATTAAGTCACGTCTGGAATGACAGGAAGGAACCTATTCATTTCCGTTCCTTAGGCTTGAGAGGACACACCTGGGCAATCTCCAGCGTTCATCTGAATCTCTATTTATAGCTCTGCCTCAGCATTTGTTTAATTTTGAAACATAAGCAAAAAAGTAAATAGATTAACCATTAAAAAATTTATTCAGTGTTCTACATTCTCAACACAAATCAGAATATTTCAATTCTTCTCTAGAGGTAAGAAAAAGAAAAAAAAATGCCTATTTTTATAAGATTTTCATTGTTGTACAGCTCAAATCTCATTTCGACATCAGAATTCATATTGTCGCAAACAGATCAACACGCTCCTCATTCCGCAGGCCCCCCGTCCCACAGCCCCCCACCAGAGAGAGCTGACCCCACTTCGAGGCTTTAATTCAAAAAGATAAAACTGTTTACACATTTTTAAAATCTCATTTCTGTCAATATGGTGAACTACAGATCTCGATAAACCTTCCCTGTCAAGAACTCTTAGGATGACGAATACCATATTCTTTTAAAACACTGTTTTAAATGCTACCTGAGCTGGCAAGGGAGTAAAGGGAATCGGTGAGAGACAGAAGCAAGTCCAGAGGGGTAACCCGGTAATCAAGCTGGAATTTGCCACAGGGGCATCTGCCTCTCCTTTTAGCCTGGAGCACACATCATTCATGGTTTTCCCGCAAAATGCCAGATAATAAATATTTTAGGCTTTGCATTCCATAGAGTCTGCTGCAACCACTCAATTCTGCCATAGTGGCATAAAAACACTCACAGATGATATGTAAGAAAAAAATAACAATAATGGGCATGGCCATGTTTCAGCAAAAATTCGTTTATATAGACAGGCAGCAAGCAGGATTTGGCCGATGGCTCATGGTTTGCTGATCTGTGCCTTACAGCTTGGCTTTTAGTATTTTCCCTCCAGGAACCACAGTTGCAGTAATGGCCCCACCTCGTCACACCTCACTATCTCCTTGTACCCCTGCCTTAGGGGAGCCCATCCCACATGGGCTCTGGTCAATAGGATAATAGTAAATGTGACACAGGAGAACAGGCAGATCTTTTGCCTCTCCTGGGCTCTCTGCATCCACCACCCTGTGGATGAGCACAGTCCAGCTGCTGCAGACATAGAGTCTGTCATCACATGGGTTCAGGTGAGAGTTAGCACTGACTGGCAGCCAGCACCAATTGTCAGAGGCCTGAAGGAAGCCAGCCTAGGCTAGCTGGCCCCCAGGCAACCCAGCAGTTGACTTTAGCCACAGGAGTGAGTCAGGGTAACTAGCAGAAGAAACGTCAAGCTGAGCACGGCCTTAGTTTCAACTCACTGGGATCGTAAGCTAGTAAAATGATTGTTTAGAGCCGCTAAAGGTGGCTGTTCTGCAGCGAAAGCTAAATGATACTTTCCACAGGAAGTTTATCATCTTCTAGAAATATAAACTGAGAGGCCAATAAGTCTATTTACAGAAATGGTAAAGACTGAGGAAACTTAAAACAAGTGTATTTGCATCTTAAAGGGCCTGTCCCCCCAACAGCGGGGACAAGACCTCCCTTGTTTCTCCTACTGACAAGGCAAAGCAAAATCTTCCTACCTGAGCAGACTTCTTTGTAAGTAGGATTAGGAGTATAGCCTCCTGCAAAACCAACTTGAGTTGAATACACTCCTTTCAGGACCCAGAATTTCCTTTCGGCTCCCCAGAAACAGCCCATTCCTAAGGGGGAAAAAAAAGATAGTGATTAAGCATTTATCGAAAACAAGGTGGTCATTGCACATTACCTGTTTGACTAGAAAAGGGAGGTTTCTTCTGTCATTTGATAATCAAAAATGACTAAGACTTCCTTTCAAAGAAGGAGAGTTTTTCACACCGGTAAATAATTGTATACAAGCCATTTACATAGAAATATCTCTTTGCTTTAGCTACGCAAAAACTTGGCCTCAAATTTAATGGAGTTAGTACATCTAAATCCTTCCCATAACATAGTAAAGAGCAATAGTATTTTGTGAATAATTTCCACACTCAACTCTTAACTTGCATTAGTAGAAATTTACTTAATGATCAGCTTTCTGGGCTCGGCACCTGTGGCTCAAGTGGCTAAGGTGCCAGCCACATACACCCAAGGTAGCAGATTCGAATCCAGCCCAGGCCCGCCAAACAACAATAATGGCTGCAACCAAAAAATGGCCGGGTGTTGTGGTGGACACCTGTAGTCCCAGCTACTTAGGAGGCGGACGCAGGAGACTCGCTTAAGCCCAGGAGTTGGAAGTTGCTGTGAGTTGTAATGCCACAGCACTCTACCCAGGGGGACAGCTTGAGGCTCTGTCTCAAAAAACAAAAGATCAGCTTTCTGGTCATGCTTTTTAAAAAAATATTTTAACAAAGAATTATATTACTAAATTATTGATTTTAATGGGAAAATTTGTAAGATCAATACTGATTGATCCAGTATTTCCAATTAACAATCTCACATATGTATTTGGTTTAAAAAAAAAAGTTGTTTGTTTTTTTTTTTGGGAGACAGAGGGAGTCTCACTCTGTCGCCCTGGGTAGAGTGCCATGGCATCATCATAGCTCACAGCAATCTCAAACTCTTGGGCTTAAGCAATCCTCTTGCCTTAGCCTCCCAAGTAGCTGGGATAGCAGGCACCCCCCACAATGCCCACCTAATTTTTCTATTATTTTTAGAAAAGTGAGATGGGGTCTCACTCTTGCTCAGGCTGGTCTGAACTCCTGGGCTCAAGGGATCCACCCACCTCAGCCACGAGAGTGCTAGGATTACTATGAGCTACCGCACCTGACCTAGTTTTTAAAAATTTTTAAAAATCAGTATAAACTTGCATGTAATAAATCACTGCTCACTCAGAAGTATATTTTTCCAAGTTCTATTTCCAAAAACAATGAGTGGATGTGTGTGGAGGGGAGACAGGAAAGGAAGGAATAACATCAAACTCACAAAAATAGCATAGCTTCAACCTGCAGACATTGTGTTTATACCAGTAGCTATTAGATCCCTTTGAACGCACAGTAAAAATCAAGGCCCATCTCCCAAGAATGGACATACTCACACGTATCAAAAATGTTGTACTGCAATTCCTTGAGCTACAAATAAAGAACCCCCACTTCCTACTGTAAGTTTCTAAATCGACCAGCACAACTACTTTTCTGCAGCCCCACCATAGATGTAGGCAAGATTATGGCCTCAAATTTGATGGGTGTTATGAAGGCACATGTAACTGAGATCTTGGGTGGAACAATAGTTGGAAAATTAATACATGGCTTTGACTCCTACAATCACTAGATTTGCTAGATTCGATGGACAGAGATGAAAGAAAAATCAGTTTACTGAATTTCTTGACACTTGTTAATAATCTACATTAAAAACTCAAAGTGATAACAAACCCCCCAAAGCAATAAAGTTGTGCAAAAATATTTTATTTGCTAGAATACAAAGAGAAACTTACTAAACAAAAATAGATTAACATTTAAGGAATAAGATAGAGCCAAATAATAAAATTGATTGCAGTAAAAAAAAGTACTGTTGCGGTCATATGCAATGTAGAAATATGTATACAGTTATGCCATGATTATCTAAAGCTAAATGAAAATGGAAAAAACCACTATATACACATTATAACTATAAAAGAAATTCACACCAAAATAGACTGCAAGGAAATACACTGAGGTTATTGCTATGGTTGTACTATAGTGGTGGGAATTTAGGAATGTTTTTTTTTTTTAGTTTTCAAATTTTCCTGTAATAGATTCCTATTACTTTAAAAATGTAAATTTTTTGCTTTAAAAGCAAAAACCTCAAAGACATAAGCATATGTATCATTTGAGTTATACCCCGCTATACCATTTTTCCTGTTTACAAGTGAACTGTTTGCTACTAGTGAATATAAATAAATATTTATTTAGTATCTATAAAAAATTAAGTATCCCCAGGTCTCTAGCAAAAGGATTCACTGTTAATTTTTGCTTCATTGCATTCCCTGGGTTCGGGGAACGATGACGGGCACTCTCTGGAGAAGGACAGGGAGAAAGTGAGCTGAGCGGCTTCACAAGGGCTGCAGGAGCGCCTTCGCCCTCTGACTGGACAGTGTGCTCCGGGCCCTCTTGTACATTTCCTACTCTAAGGCCAGAATCAACCATTTCTCCAACAATGTGAGAATGTGAAAAGGCATTTCAAGACCTGACCTTGGCACTAGTGAAGCTTATTGCAAAGTGCTCAACCATGGGATGCCAGGAGACCATGTCGGTGAGTTTCCCATTAAAAGCCAAGTCCTGGGCAGTGCCTGTGGCTCCAGGAGTAGGGCGCCAGCCCCATATATCAGGGGTGACAGGTTCAAGCCCAGCCCCAGCCAAAACTGCCAAAAAAAAAAAGCTGAGTCCCGCCAGACTCACCAAATCACAAGGTCAAAGAGGGGTGCCACCCCTATCCTGTCATAAAGTAGAAGTTGTACCCCCAGGATCACAGCTAGCAGGATGTGGGGCAGACGCAAACCAGTGAATGGACAGCCAGACTCCCACAGCATCCACCAGGGCTGCCCCATACTCTCTGCACTCTGCCCTGAGGCTGTACGGGGACTCTGTACAAGCAGGGGAACAAGACAAAGGCTGGGTTTGGGTTTGTGGATGGTTGGTTCATTATGTGGGTCCATGCCAGAAATGCACAGTGGCCATGCTGTGGCGTCCCTTGGGAGTGGCCAGGAAAGACAGCGGTGAGGCCAAATCCTCCTCCCAACCAGTTCCTTCAGGCAGCACATGGCTGTGCACTTACGTAAAAGCAGCAGCCCAAGTTCAGAACACACGTGGGGCCATATGGCCAGCAGCAAGAGGCTTGGGCAGCTAGTCAGAGGTCAAAAGCAAAAAGGACTAGATGGTCAGGAACAAGGAAGTCTGAGGTTGAGGCGCGTGGACAGACAGGTGAAAGCAAGCGTGCAGTATGAAGGTCTTCGTACCATCTGCTCATGGTGGCCAGGGACATCCTCCGTGACAGAGGCCCTCCTCAACAAAGTAGAGGAATGAGCTGGGGCAGGGGCGTCAGCACGCCTCTTTTGTTGGCCCCCCAGTGCCAGCATGAAGAACAGAGTAAAAAAGTGGCCACTATGACCAAGACAAAGGTTATATGTGGACCCAAAAGCCTGGACTCCCACTCACTGAGGCTCGCCTCACCACAGCCACCACCAAATGTCCAACCTGCCAGCAACAGAGACATTACCACGTGCCTTACATGGCACCACTCCTCGAGGGGACCAACCAACTACGAGGTGGCCTGGGGGAAACACTGGGCCCTTCCATGCCCAAAGGGGCAGTGGAGTGTTCTCACAGTGAAGGCCATGGACTCCCGGGATGAATCTGTCCCTGCCTTCAGGATTGCAGCCAACTTCCGTCACATGTGTGAGTTCAGACATCTGGGTAAAAGGCAGAGGCAACAGACTCACAAAGGCCCCGAGAAGGTGCCAGCTACCTCAGGGCATAGGAAGGAAGGGAGTGTAACTTGAGTGACCAAGGACAAAGCAGAGGGACCCAAATTGGCTAAGCCAGATTGTGTTGGGCCTTATGGGATCATGAAGGATGTTAGATTTTATTCTGTGCCAAAGTTGAGTTTGTTGAGTTTTGAGAAGGAGTGAAGACAACAAAACTTAAGGTTTACAAGACTGCTGTGGCCGTCCTCAGCTGAGGACGGACTAGAGTAAAACAGTCACAGAAGCAGGGAGTGGTCAGGAAACCACAGCTGTGATCCAGGAAAGCACCAATGGTGGTATAGACCAAGCAGTGCAGAGAAATCACGCATCTTGCGATCGCATTCCGGATATACAGGGTGTCCATGAAGTTCGTGTGCGATCTAAAATTAGCTATAAATTGCACGTGAAAGGTATGGACACTCTGTATTTTCAGAACAGAGCCAAAAGAATTTCTTGAGAGATTGGATGCAGGGTTTGAGAAAAAGAGAGGGTTAAGATTAAGGTCTAAAACCACTGGCTTGAGTGTAGAACTTGGTGTATGAAGCAGAATTGCAGAAGGTCAAGGCTTCCAATAACTCTAGTTTTCATGGGTCCATAATACCTAGTAGAGTAAGTCTTCTTATCTTTTTTCAGAATTTTCCTTGCTATTCTGGACCTATTACTATTCCAAATTTAGTATCAGCTTAACAAATTCCATAAAATACCTTTTCAAAATTTTAATTAGAATTAAACTTATAGATCCATTTGAAGATACATTTGTGTCATATTAACAATATTGAGTCCTCTTATCAATAAACAGCAAAGCTCTACATTTATCCACGTATTGTCCAATATCCTTCAATATCACATTATAATTTCCTCCAAAAAGATCCTCTACATTGTTATTATAGTTCTACATACCCTAAGATTTATGGTGTTGCTATAAATACTATTTTTTCTAATATAGCGATACTTTATTGTTTACTGTTGATGTATAAGAACACCATTGATTTTATTGTGCTTTCAATACAGCCAGAAAATACAGAAAATTTTCTTAGTATTTCTAATGATTTGTCACAAGCTTCTCTTTCATTTCCTATGTAAAAAAAAAAATCATATTTCCTACAAATGACAGATTTATATCTCTGTATCCAATTATAATATTATTTTTCTTCCTTTATCTCATTTGATTGCATTGGCCTAGAACCTTCCACACAATGCTGAATAATAAGAGTGATGGTGGGAATCCCTGTCTCATCATAATAT